GCGTCTTCAAGAGCAGGGACGTTTGAATGCCACTTATGGAGCTGAAATGTCGCGTCGTTAAAGATCTCACGGGCCGTTTCTTTGAGTTGTTGGGCTTTCTCGATTGTTTCTCCACCGCTGACCAAATCGTCGACATACAAACTCTTGTTGATTTCTTTCACGGTTTCCGGATGTTGTTCTACATGTTTCTTGAGATGTTGTTGGATAACACCACCGAGTAGGAATGGGGAAGGAGACAGTCCGAACAGGGCTCTTGTGAAGCGAAGTGTCACTACTTCCTTGGTCTTCAAGTCCTTGAACCAATGAAACCGCATGACGTCACGATCTTCTTCACGTATTCCAACCTGCAGGGGTGGTCCCGTTTCAAGACATCCATTCAAGGAAGGAGCATTCTGGTTGTCTCGTGCTGATGCGTCGTGCACAATTCTTAGTTTTGTTGTTTCTGCTGATTCTCTAATCACTGCTTTATGGGGTAAGTAGAACTCTCTATCTTGTGCTTCTGTATTGACCTTTTCTACGATCCCTTCCTTGATCTGCTCTTTGATAATCTCGTCACACTGTTCGATAATGTTCTGTTTGTCTAATTTTTTGACTAGGTTGTCTAGACGTTTTAAACTTCCGGATTTGTTGTTGGGTAAGGGGAGATGGTTTCCCTTCCACGGTAAACTGGTCTCGTACTAGCCCTCCTCGCTTCTCGTTAGTTGTTCTTTAAACTCGCTGTAAACATTTTGCTGATCCCCTGTTGCGGAATCTCGTAAACCTAAGACATCTAATATACATAACTGTTCGTAATCTTCGCGATGTACTTGGGTTAAAAGCATGTTATTCAGATTTATTTCCTCACCGGGGGACATGATTGTCCAGCCAAATTTTGTGAGCTCAGCGACAGGCTCACCGGGGGATCCAACCCTTGGTTTTGACGGTGTTTTAATCTTTGAGTAGTCCCCGGTCCCTAGGATTAGATGCACGGGCAGGCGTTCTTTCTCGTCTTTATCTGGCATAATTACTCCTTCAAGATGTGAGTAATTAGCGATAATCTCTTTATACTTTGGATTATCCAGTGTCAACAGTTCATTTCTCTCGACTCGGGTTACCTCGGTCTCAATATGAAATTTATTACTCGTGTCGCTTATTTTTATATTATAAATTCCAACCATTTTTGTTGAAGTGCCAAACATCATTTCAACGCAACAGATTTCTTTCTTTTGGGGTTGAGCTTTTATGGTGTCAAGGACAGGGCATTTTTTAAGAATTCGTCAGTGGGGGGGCCATCTACAAAAAGGGACCATACTATACCGAGTGTGGAGCAATGATAGATGGTTTGTTGGTAACATAAAGTTTGGTGTGGTATCGCATTTAATAGTAGGGGGGGGGGAGCAGGGCCGTAGGAAGCTCTTTTCGTTTGGGGGGGGGGACTGAAAGCGAGGGCCGAAGGCCCGAGGAAATTTTTAAATTTAGAGTCTCTGAAATGCCATTTCCTGGACTTTGGAGAAGATTTGACAGATTTCTGATTGTCAGAAAACAGCGTTTTTAGTATGTGGAAATTTAGAATTCAGTAGTACTAAATGGGCGAAGGTGTATTTAATTAACGATATATTGGATAATATACCCTGGAGAGGGTCTGGGGTTTTCTCTCCCAGAAAATTTTTGTATTTTTCTAGCCCTATGACTGCAATTCCCTGCATTTTCTGAAACAGATTTTTGGATATACAGCATTACAGTATGCTGTAGATAGACTGAACCTTCAGTTAAGTATTTGCATAGTATGTTTATGTAGATACCACAACTTGGCCGTCACTTAGGGAGCCAGCTTGATAAACTTAGAGTTCCCGACTCCCGCAAAGCGCCACCATGGTTGGCACAGAGCGAAAAAATTTGAAAATTTTGCGTCTCTAAATTGTCGGAAATGGCATTTTCAAAGTCTTGTATACGTCTTTTGTTAGGCCCTTTCATTAATTCGTTCATTATGATTTGCGAGTCTATGATATCCGCGAGTCATGATGGATTATTACGAGAAATGTTATCAAAATATCGATTACAGATATTTGATTATATGTATATATGATTTCAAATACTTCTAGTTTCGAAATCAATTTTTTTTTTGGGGGGGGGGCAAAATTATCCCCCCCTTATAAAACACTTGGTTGAGGGCCTGTTGCCCCCTGCGGTCACTAACTTGTCCAACAACTCAAATCTATATAAGGTCTGGGAAATGCAATCCACTGCCTGGGAAATGTTTAAAATCTAAGGTATTTATTAAACATAGAAGACAGGACATAAGATTCACAAAGCAAATTTCAGTTACTAGAATATCAAACCTTCCTTCTAAATTCCATGTTTTGCTTATATTTTAGAGAAAAGGGACTTTGACTGGGGGGGGCCAAAATGGTTGAGTGGGGGGGCCACCATGGGGGCTGGGGGGGGCTTTGGCCCCCCCAGTTATATAGTTAAAAAATGCCCTGGTCAAGGAGCGCTGACGAGGCATAAGAACTTCCTGCCCCCGTATCAATTAAAGCGCGACATTTAACCCCATTTATGTCAACGACAACAACTGAATACACTACAGGCCTATTTGCATTAGTTGCGGTATTTAATAGCCTGTCATTCGTGGGCTCAGCGGGGAGGCATATTCTCGCTCGAGGCGTCGCAAATCGATGTATGATGTCTACGCCTACATTTTGTACAACTAGATCGGCAGCGGCAATCGGACGCCCGATGCTCGGATCTATCATGCACATGCATTTTGACAGGATTTCTCTCCGTCCATTTCCTAAGCGCGTCTACCAATTTAATATAATCCCACTGGCGCCAATCATCGTCCGTTCTGACTAAATCACCCCATATTCCCTCTAATTTATTTAAACACATGCGAACATACCCATTTACTTCCTTTAACTTTCCCAAAGTTTCTAAAAATTGTACATTGAACAACAGTTTATCATAAAAATCATGAATCTTACCGGCATTGGATCCCTGTATGGTTGGAAGAAACATTATATTTTGTACATATGCATTCACGATCTCGCTACTGTCTCCATTCTTGGTCTTGAGAATATTCTTTGCACGCTCATAGCCTTCGGTAGAAAATGGTAGTCCGTCGATGCACGATCTCACTTTTGGGCATACTAATTCCTTTAAATAGGCGAACTTTGATACAGGTGCCACGTCTGTTTGGTCGATCTTGGCTTCGAATAGATTCCAGAAGCGCATCCAATCTAAGGGTGTCCCGTTGAATTTAGTGATCCCAAGCTTTGGTAGTTTCACGTTCGTACTCGCCGCTTTCTCGTGTTCCTTACGTGCCTTCTCTAATTTCATTTCATGTTGTAATTTCTGTTCGAATTGTACCTTATCAAATTCCAGTTGTTCCTTATGGATTTCGCGTCGTGTTTCAGCTATCTTCTCCTGTTCTCGCATGGTAGTTTCTTTGTCCTCTTGTTAGCTCGTAGATTTTAGCTTGTAGATTTCGTTCGCAGTTTTAGTTATAGTCCCCTTTTGTCGCTCGATGCTTGTTAAAGTTGTTGTCGATTTGCTTCAATAACTCGTCCATTTTTCACCTATAATCCCGTCGGAGGTGCCACTTGTGTCGGGAATGCCGTTAGAGGCTTCGGAGGAAGATTTAATGACTGGTTCGTTAAGAGACCAGTCAATTTCATCTTTTTTGTTCAGTTCATTGTCATCATCAGTGATCTGACACATATCTTTCGGCTCGTTGGCTGCCGGCTCACAGTCCTCCGTCCTCGTTCGTCACTTCCTCAATAATCTTGACTCTGATGTCTTCGCGCCAAGTTGGTGTGTCACTGCATGTCAATATGCCATGTAAATTGATCTCAATTGTTATTTACTGTCGAATGTTGAATACATTTTATCAGACAATCTGTCATCTGTCCGCTTAAGAGAGGTTAGTTTGCCCATTGGGACCTCAAGTAAGGTGTCCGCGTCCTTTAAAGAGGGGTGTCCGCTCAATAGGGGTTATGATAATAGTATTTTATTAATGAAAACAAATGGGACCTGAGATACGTGTCCGCTTAAAAGAGGTGTCCGCTTAAGAGAGGTGTCCGCTTAAGAGAGGTGTCCGCTTAAGAGAGGTGTCCGCTTATAGGGGTTTGACTGTAGCTTTAAAATACTATATTTTGCATCTATTTTAATTTATGTAATTTTCTGCACGTGCAAAGTATGTTTACAATAGTCTATTTTATTGTTATTTTGCTAACTATGACAGAAAGATAAGATTAAAATAGTATATTTTATTCCTGTTTGAAATTTGTGCATTTAACTTGCAATGTAAAATAGGATTTAAACAGCCTATTTTATTTTATGAGTTTAAAAATAGTATATTTTATATCTATTTTAATTTCTAACTGCTTTTTAGTGAAGTAAAATAGAATTTAAATAGGCTATTTTAAACCTGGAAAATAGTAATAAATATGCGATTTTATTTCTATTTTCTATAAAAATAGGAATAAAATAAAATAAAACATTAATAAATATGGCTCTTTCTTTTGGTGAAATATTATGAATAAATTAAAATAGGGTTGCTTCTGAATAAAATAGCATAAAAATAGGGGTGATAGTAATAACTTTTTAACGTAATTTAAAACAAAAAATTGCTTGTAAAACAGCAAAATACGTCCTTTCAAAATGAACAGCAATTTACTTCAACAGATTTTGTACTCGCACATGCGCATAACGTTGAAAACCGTCCATGACATAAACAAAATGGAGGACAACTTTGCGCTCTGCTATGTTTTCACATACCCGGGTATAATTAGCCGTGCGGAATTAGTACCCTCGCACGGCGATTAGTACCCTCGCACAAAAATTTAAAACTGTATGCAATACATAATTATATAGCTTACCAAATTGTATTCACTACAGCCTGTTTCAACAGGCTGCAGTGTACACATTTTCGGTCAGCTTTGGCCTCGTTTTCACACTTTGTTTGCCAGTTTGGAATAACTGTTTCGATCAGCTAAAATCCTAAATTAAAATTAAAAATAATATTACTTACATCGAAGCATCGTATCTACTATCATTTGCTCCTCCTCTTCGTCAAAATATGCAAGCAATAGAAGACAGACGCCAGTCATTTTAACAGCTTTCGGCTCTCGGAATTCCATCGCATCAGTTTGACTGAATCTTTCACCCTCTTTCTTGACAGCTCCTGCTTCATGTAATCAAAAATAACTTTAGCCTTTCGTTCAACAGTTTCCATGAAAACTACATGAAGCTCAAACCCTATAAGTTCCTGAAAGTGCTGCAGTAAATAACCTTTAAAAAATAGGAATGGCCATAACTCTTTTATTTCATCGACTGTAGACGGCGTTAGTTTTTGCTTAATGAACATGTGTGGGGAGGTGTATGCTAGTTTCATGAAGTGTTTGACCTGATCTTTGTCTTGGTCAGCTTTTGTATATTCGCTAATTAGCCACTCCTGTTTCTCCTTTTGTGTCTCTTTATTTTCATTCTCAGGATATGAATCACGCAACCATACGAATCCTTGACAGGTTTCCTCGTTTTCTTTGCAGGTGGCTCAGAGGTTCCATCAACTTCATTTAATTTTTCACCAAAGGAACTTGTTTTCTTTCCTTTTCTATTTAAATTAAACATACGTTCTTCCATTTGCTTACGAAGAGACTCGTACCCACTTCCAATAACTTTATCTCCAACAACGTCACAAAACGATTCTTTGTGTTTGGCCACAATTGTGCTTGCAATTTTGGACAAGTTTTTTCTACCAGCCAAGGTTGAATGCTTTCTTATGTCATCACAAACTATTCGTACCATTTCTCGTCGGTCACCTTTTGCTCGCATGCTTGAAGTAGTGACTGTGGCATTTTATACCATGGAATTTCAAAATCTTGAACCCAGTGTCCGTGCTTTTGTATTGGAGTGCTCTTATTAACCAGAGTTGAAGGACTATCCACTTCTGTAGATCTTGGAGGAGTACTGCACCGCGATGAAATGGAGGTATCACTACTATCTCCTCCATCAATAACTTCAATTATGGAGTTGCCTTTAGGAGTGTGTGGCAATTTACTTGTTTGGGCATTATTACCTTAAAATGATTTGTATGCATCTTTAGTGTTTATGTATATGCATAAAATTATGTTCACTTGGGTGTTCCTATTTTTTTAGCTATTGTTGTCTGATAATAACAATTACTGTAAATTTATCCAAATTAAATCATAAATAGACTGAGGTGGTAGATTTGGCATTATGATGACAAGAGAAATGCTCAATATACATCAGTGGCGTAGCCAGAACGATATTGGGGCATATATTCATACATTTGTGTTCACATACCATAAAAACAATTGATTTCAAAAGATTTTAATAAAGCAGAACACGAATATATGAATATATGCCTCCCCGCAATTATCGTTCTGGCTACGCCACTGATATACATATATATATATAGGCAAACCTTTGGCATGTTGCAACAACTTTCGTACTTGTATTGGCTTCAGAACACCACTTAAATCAGCTTCTTCCAAATAAGCTAAATCTTCAAGTTCTGAAGCCCCAATTTCTACTAATTGTAGTTTCAATAACGTCATCAGTCAAATTTGGGAATAATTTGTTGAGAAATTCTTCCATGCTTTTTTATTTCTGAAATGAAATGCAAACATTGAAATCTGTATGGTTTGTAGACAAGTCACACTACTATGAATTACTCATCTACTAGTGCATATTTAAGTACAATGACTTGCTTGTTACTAAGAGTGTAACAGTTCATTAACAGAGCATATTGTGCTTGAACTCTTCTAACTAAGAAACACACAATTCCTTTCCTATAGGAATTTGGTCCCAAATTCTTATAGGAATTTTTCCTATAGGAATTTTTTCTACAGGAATTCATATAAGAATTTAAGAGAGCTTGTCTGTAAAAATCGCAGTAATTCGCCATTATCTGGCAGACATGAAAAACTGAAAGTTCTTCAATTTCCCTCGATTTTATATATATTGTAGACATATTTGGCCCCACACATTTACTGAAGTTTCGGCCATGAAATACAAAATGAAGAAAAGTTAGAGTACTTCAAAAATCGAACCAAAAATGATGGGAAATGTCCAAGAAATGTCGCTATATAAAGCAATCAACACCATGTGCTGTGCTGAGCGCGCATTATAAGTTTTGATCTGCTGTTACAATATATGTCTTTAGAATATATGGAACTTTCTCGTGATATCTTTTCTCCGTAAATCGAAATGTTATTGACTTGGTTATTTTAGATCAAAGGTGGTTGAAATTTTCGGGTTCTCCAAACTAGCCAAAGTACGTCTGGTGAATCGGCTATTTAAATATGGTCCTACTTTCTTTATAAATGTACATATGCATAATTTGTTAGGGCTAGGATGTAGTCATTTGACAACGATTTCAGATGTTTGGGATTCTTTTGTGTCTTGGCGAAATTTGATCTTAAACATGTACAATATTAGCGTAATTGAGTGCTTGGATTTTATTAACCGGCGCGTTACGATTCCAATATCTTACGCTTGTTCTATTCAAAAAGTTAACATGCTTCACTGTAGATGACACTGAAAACACACAGTTTACTTCTTAACGATTTTCTTTGCATTCAAGTTACTTTGTCTACAGTATATGTGTATATACATACTGCGCGCACGCACGTACGCACGCACAACCAAGCACATTTGAACTTTTTTCGAACGTAAAAAACATAGCCGCAGCCCTCAAGGTTACACGGCTTTAAATTGCGGTGCCCGTCCAAGTTTGATACCGGCTTTATATTTTTATCGCTGCTGACACTGCAATTTAATTGTTTACATTTTCTATCGATACATTCATGTACGACTTGCATTTTATTACACATATTTTGAAATAACTTTTCTTACATATCGATTCCGACAAACTTGACAACATAACAAATTTCCGACGGGTCTCAACAATGGGGAGGGGGTCTGCCAATAGGG